CTTCCCAATGGGCCGAAGTATCTGTCCTTCTAATGTCCAATTAATCTACCATCGCGTCGTGTATTCAAATTTGCGCACCTAATCGTCAGCCCTCTGTAGCTCAGTGGTAGAGCAGCGGACCGGAAAGTTGTTGGGCCATGGTTCGATTCCCGTCGAGGCACATTATTGTGTGTGAATTTTAATCGTGACTTCTACTTTCTACGAACTTTACACCACTCACAAACATCTACAATTTATTTGGAATTATAAAGAAAATTTCATGACTCGGACTTCGGGACTATTCATACGATTCTTCAATTTAACGTGGTCCGTACTTCGCAGCTTCAGTTTGTACAATCTTGCGCCACCGTGCTTGAATAAACAATTTAGTGTACAGTAGTTTGTGCATCTACGCGCATTATACAGCACTGTTGGGAAACGGTCGATTGTTGTTCCAAATTGCCTGGCGTAGCTTCTGCGACCTAAGTTATCTTACAAACGGCTGAATAGTTAGTTCTCCTGTTTACTGATTTGGACTTTGGATGAAGCTTTTCGAAATGTATTTTGCTGGATAACAACATCGACACTGGGTCGTTTCGGATAAATTCACCCGGGTCATTGACCTTACGAGGAAACTAGCGCATGTCTCGTCATCTCCGAAATCACTCAGTTTAGCTGTAAACCATTATCATTGATTACGCACCATACCTATACAAACGATTTGCTGTACCCCCGTTGAAAAAGGTGGTTGGTTTTGAACTTTTAATTATGTGTGCTATTTTTCAAGGGTCCATATTTCTTCTGACTGTACACATTTCCATTTACCATGTCTTCTTTGCATGTGTCGTATTTCCTGTGACTAATTCACAGGTTACTTTTCATTTCATTCCACTAACACTTCCTCTACTTTAGATCAAATGGAATCACTTAGATATTGTGTTGTTCGTCTGTCAGACTCCAACAAATTCATCACTATCAGTAGTACGTGGTTACGGGAAGGAGATTCATATGCACAAATTCCTAACCTTCCATGTTGCAAATACTATCCGGCTGTGGAGACCCATATGGCCCCCTCCTGTGATGACACACTGGCTCCTGTATCCGTCGTCGTGCGCACAAGTAGGGTCATTTGATGTCTATTATTCCTTAGCTAACTTCAAGCACGCACGCGAAACAGAGGACATTTGTAACTTTCTGCAGAGTAGATGCTTTCGACCGCCGATCAACGAACGCAAGTGTTTATTTTGACTTATGAGTTATTTTTATAGCTGTCTCCCACCGACCCTAACCAGATCGGGCTACCACAAGTTAAATTCAGCCTACTTGTGTTAGGAAATTGTCATATTTTTCGGAGGGTCAATGTCTATTGGAACAGAAGGGTTGGTTTCCTCGACAAAGAACAAAGTTATGCTTGTCTTGACTTTTCATCAACTGCTGCCACAATTGCATACAACTAACTACAGAAACAAGATCGTCTGCCTAATGATATGTTAACTTTCTAGTGCACATACACTGTATTTGCTTCTGTGCGATTGTGCGTGAGAACATCTCCCCCCAAATGTGTCCAGCAAAAACAATATGCAGCATCCTTGGCTATGGATAGAACGCTCGTCACCTCAATTGTAGACTGATGTCGCAGATCCGGACGCACTTGAATTCTTGCTGAATGAACCGGTTTTTTTAGTGTTATTGTGATCACCACAGTTTGTGGCAAACATTGAGACTCGCTTGCTTTCCTGTGTTTGCACTGTTTGTTGTCTCAGTCGCATTCGATGAGTGATGGCTTTGATAATTTTTCTTCTACATGTGTGAATAAAATGCTTGATGTTTGCTGAAACCTATCAATTATGAGCTTGGGTCATATTTCACAAGCACATGACTTTGGTTACTTACGTCTAGGCGAATCTAATTCTGTTCTCTTGTCATTGGCTACCCAAATCGTTCACGAGATTTGACATTTTACAAATGTGTTCTGATCGGCCGTACGCACTCCTTGGATGTAGGTTTCTCCCGCACCGATTAACCTTTTTCCTGAAAACACTGTTGTGCTGAAGGTGATCACGAATGGGGAACAAAGAGCACTTTTATCATCCCGCTCATTTACATATTTAGCCCCATTTGAGGACAATGCGTTCAATTTGGCTTATGGGCTACATAACTGTTCCAATCACAAATTTAAGCTAGAAGTTCAGATGAATGTTTTTGGTACGCGGCATGCATCAACGTTTATCAGCTTTAAGCTTTTGAGATGATTTTGCTGTTGGTGGGTGTGGTCTCTAGCATTACCAGGTCACGCCAAGCCTAGATAGTGTATTCGATATGCCGGCGCAGGCAGGCATTGAGAATCAGCGAGTTGAACGAAACATCCTCCGCTAGAGACCAAGGTGCCAGTTACCACTTTTTGTAATGGACTCAGCTTTTCCGTAAAAACCGAGGTCGTTCTGTACGAACACACCATGGTCGCGTTCCTGAGGTATGGTCTGCAGTTCATTCGCTCCAAACCCATAGATATAGGTGTGCCGGTGGCGGATTTAAAAACTCAGTATTTGTCCATATTGAATAACATCGTGTTCTTCACCAACCAGTTGGAGACTTTGGCAACACTGCATTCAAGGATCTCTTGTTCGTCCGAACACTTGCTCACCCTTTAAATCTTAGAGTTGTCCATGGAAATTAGAAGCTTTCAGGAAATAACTTTCGCCAGACTGTTATTGAATGTCAAGAACACGCGTTTCCCAAGTACCGAACATTGACGTACACTGCCGGTACGCAACACCGACGCTTCGCTGCCGCACAACTTCTACCAATCGCGCGTGGGCTGAGAGTATAGCGAGATTCACCCGATACCCTACACAGGCTCGAGCTTACGACCACCGGATTACAAGATCGGCTTGAGATCACTAAGGCCAAGGTCTGGCACTCCAGGAGTGCTATGTAAGCTCAAAGATAGCACCGTTTCTTCAGTGGAGGTGACGCTGGTCGAACTTATGGTAGAGTTACAGCAATAGAAAAAGCGTTTGGAGCTTGTATTCCTCGGAATATAAGTTAGTAATAGACGCGTAGAGAGTTTGCCACTAACTGCGTCGAACTTACACCTACATAGTGGTTACCAATCTTGAATACTGTAGCTATGTTTGATTCTCCCTATTGTGTTGCGACGACTTCATTTCGCTTTGGGAAGGTTGGTCCTTTTTCTCCATAGAATCTTACTGCCATCCTAAATGTAAACTGTGGCATTGAAAACGTTGATTGCTGTGTTCTCGCCCTGAAAATTACTCACATATAGGTTATCTAAGCGAATCGTTGCCCGGCATGCAGCACCGCAGTACGAAGCCGTTGAGCATCAGCTGAATTTCACCTGAGAACATTACGCCTAATGATCCACATGGTGTTAACTTGTCGCAAATTCTGGCGCCATTTCTAGCCCTTATAGCTGACGGAGGATTCACTTGGATCACTGACGCCAATGATGGGACAGAGCCGGCGAAACTTACTTAACACTTCTTCATTTAGTATGATAAGTTCAATATGCCGCTTGTTAGTTCACAGTAACCGTTTGATTCGACATCTGTCAGCAAGTATAGTCACGTTCTACTGGGCTATTTGACTGCTTTGAGATCTATGTGTTCCTAGTTCGACCTGGGATTACTTCGAAGTACGTAACAACACTCGTGCTTTCTTCGATTCGACGCACCAGTAAAGTGTGCTGGTTTAGTGCCGGCAGCCGCAGTCAGTAGCAGTGGTGATTATTCTCTCTAGGATCAGTACAGTTCAGCTCAGCTAATCAACTATGATCCGAGCACCGAAGTGCGGTGGATCCGGTTGCCACGACTCGCACCGTATGAATAACAATAAATAACAACGGTAGTACAGTGGGTTTGGGTGCACGTTTAATATGGAAAAAGTAGCAGCAGGAAGGAAATGTGTTCGTCTAGTCAGAATGGAACAGAAATTAACAAACAGATGAAAGAAACCGAATGCAGACGCCCTGGACTTCGTAATTGCGCCATGTCTGATACAGTCTCCAGCCATTGGCGTGGACCGTTACGAAACCCCCATCCACGAACGCGACACCCACCAGCTTGACTGTCTCTCAGTCAATCTTTTCATGACTAGATACCACATCAAAGACCGATCACCTCGAGGTTTCGCCTAACTTGGTGCAACCACGGCATATAATGCACGCAAAAGAAGCCGACCAACGGACATACGGTGAACATGGCCTTGCCAATGTAAGCGACCAAAATGATATTTCGGATACCTACTGTCCCATGCAATAACGACAACCCCTCAACCGTGCAAGTTAGCGGAACTTCTACTTCGACAAGGACGTTGACCCACAGAACACTGCGTGAACAATGGTTATTCCAGGTGTGCTGATGGGTTTTAGACCGCGAGCTGAGGAGGATCCTTGGTTGCCAACCAACGGAAATGTCTGCTGCTGTTTTCGACAATTCCAAGAAAAGAATCTGCAGCGCTCCCAGCAAGGTGTGAATCGACATGAGAGTTCCAACACAAACTGCAAATGGGAATCAGAACTGCGCCATCTGAAGCCTTGCTAGACATGGTCTATTTTTGCACAATGCTTAAAACCACCAGGTGGTATAACTGGCGCACCGGCGTCCATTATCCCTTTGGGCTATGCTGTTCGAGAATGCCGAAGATCGGTGCACGTTTGCAACAAGCGTTTCGTTGCACATTACTCAGCTAGCTATTTTTTAGTATCAGCTCTGTCCCAGGCTTTAGTATTGATTGTTCCTTGGCTTTCATAGCCCACGGGCTTTCCTCGGTGTTGGGGGACGCAGTCCCTAACGAAATCGATCGGATAGAGCGTTCATCATTCCGGCTCGAAGATGATTCGCTTGTCTCATGGTTGTGACCTTGCTTCAAGCAAAGACTGTTTTACACATTTACAGTTTCAAGGTCATTGTACAGGAGGACGTTATAAAGCAATGAACTCGTCTCCTTTGTACCTCGTTTTCCCTTCTCGCAAGAGTGTGTTCCTCGTAGACATCTTTCGACTTTTGTTTTGGGTCTAACATTTGGACTTTGAGGTCGGCACGTTGGCGATACCTAGAAGCCCACAACACTCGGGATTGATGTTACTCGGACGCCAAACCTACTATCGGAGTAGTGACTCCGCCCTGATTCGTGATTGTGAAAACCGGTCACCTAAGACGTAACCCCCAGGAGCCAACTGGCCTACATACTGGTACTTCCATGTTCCCTGCAGCGAGTACTACCTTTTATCTGGCAGCATTGCAAAATCCCTGCCCATGTTGGTGACAGGTGTTTTTATAAGGATCAAGATTGCCATTGTTATGGGCAATTATAGTAACCACAAATAAACATTTTTGAGTGCTGCTTCCTCTGTCTTCAACAGCTTCTCCTGTGAACCACCATTGTGCGGACATCCGCATTACCTACTTCGTCCTCCCACTAGGTTTGCGAAACGTTTCCAGGTTACCAGTGGTCCAATTTGATTAGCATCATAAGATTCAATAAGCAGTTCAATTCAAGTAGATGATTTATGCAACCAGTAACGTGAATATTCAGCTGTTACACACACACCTGGATCAATGTAAAAAGAATACACAAGTAAGCTAATAATGATCTAGACAGCAATATACTTACATTACAAACTTGCTTCTAAGATCCAGTACGACTGAGGTCTGCTTGCACAGAAAACGCGCCAACTAGGGAATTACGAATGGGTGGTAAATTCTTGTATGGGAATTAATGGATCTATGCTTTTGTCTGGTTTAGTAGGTTGATACACTGTCAGATAATGAGTGCACCATAAAGAGAATGATTGGCATCGGGAGTATTTTGAAGCAAGCCTTTTGTATGAACTGGTATGAGTACACACAAGAATGTCAACGAGGGTCGACTTTGAAACACCACTACATCGAGACAGTTGCGTCAATGGCAAATCTAGGATTTTGTAATGCTTCCTTAGAAAACCCTGAAATATCACCGGCGAAAAAGAGGTCCAGTGGGATAAGACACAAGCGGTGGTGAATGGTACTATTAAGTGACGGGGGGGGACAGAGGAGGATCGCAAAAGAGCTGCTTAAAAAGAAAGCCATCTCACTTTGTGGAAACTTCATTCACATGGAGTGACCAAGAAAGATCATAGCGGTGTGTGACACCTAGCTACTTCTCTGATATGCTGGAGTGTAACCCCTCGGCATCTATGTGAACTTTAAGATAATCCATGAACAGTTACTG